CTCCTGCCTCGCCTCCAAGTAGCTGGGACTACAGGGCCTGTCACCGTGCCGGCTACTTTTTGTATTTTAGTGAGACGCGGGTTTCCACCGGGTTTAGCCAGGATGGTCTCGATCGTCTGACCTCGTGATCCGCCCATCTCGGGCTCCCAACGTGCTGGGATTACAGGCGTGAGCCACCGCGCCCAGGCCTTTTTTAGTGTTTTTTTTTTGAGACTGAGTTTTGCTCTTGTGCCCAGGCTGGAGTGCAGTGGTGCAATCTCAGCTCACTGCAACCTCCGCTCCTGGGTTCCTAGCGATTCTCCTGCCTCAGCCTCCCAAGTAGGTGGGAATTACAGGCATGCACCACCAACAGCCTGGCTAATTGTGTTTTTAGTGCGACGGGTTTCTCCATGGTGATCAGGCTGGTCTCCAACTCCCAACCTCAGGGTTCCGGCCCCGCTCGCTCCCAAAGTGCTGGGATTACAGGTGTGAGCCACTGCGCCGGGCCAGATTTTATATACTTTTCCTTTGCTCATTTACCTGCAAGTTCCTTTCTAGGTAAAAGTTTAATAGAATGGATTCAAGATATCAGATCTGGATTTATAGGAGCTTGGAACTGAAGACAGTAAACATATACTTTCAATAATAAAAGAGTAGTAAATATAAAAATAGTAAATTCACTACAGACCTAGTGGGGCATGCCCATTATCCCGTACTCTGGGAGGCTGGGATGAGCAATCAAGTCTAGCTACGGCACACAAAAATTGGTGAGTGTGGTGGTGTGGCACCTTGAGTCTCAGCTACTCTGGAGGCTGAGGGGGAGGATCACTTGAGTCCAGGAGGGTCAAGGGCTGCAGTGAGGCAATGATCATACACTGCACTCCACGCCTGGGCAAGACTGTCTCTATGACAAAAACAAAAGGCTGGCCCCAGTGGCTCACACCTGTCCCAGCACTCTTGGGAGGCCAAGGGCGGGCAGATCGATGTGTAGGACGATCAAGACATCCCTGGCTTAACACGGTGGAAACCTCTCTACTAAATAATAAAAAATTTAGGCCGGGCTTGGTGCGCGGGCCTGTAGTCCAGCTCTTGGAGGCTGGAGGCTAGTGGAATGGGGTGAATCCAGGGAGGGGACCTTGCGCAGTGAGCCAAGATTGCGCACTGCACTCCAGCCTGGACGGGAACAGAGCGGACACTGTCTCAAAAAAAAAAAGGCCTCCCAAAGTGCTGGGACTACAGGCGTGAGCCGCCGCACCCGGCCTTTTTTTTTTTTCGGTCTTTTGAGACAGGGTCTCCTCTCATCCAGGCTGGAGTGTGGCACAATCATGGCTCACTGCAGCCTCCACCTCCATGGCTCAGCCTGCAGTGCAGCTGGGTCCACAGGTGCGTGCCACCACACTTGGCTAAGTATTCATTTATTCAGTAGAGATGGGGTTTCGCTGTATTGCCCACGCTGGTCTTAAATTCCTGGGCTCAAGCGATCCCCCCCGCCTCGTTCTCCCAAAATGCTGGGGTTCCTGGCGTGAGCCAACGCTCCCGGCCTAGGGAACCTTTCTTTTTTTTTTTTTTTTTTTTTTTTTTTTCGTTCTTGTTGCCCAGGATGATAGAGTTTTGAGACGGAGTCTCGCTCTGTTGTCCGGGCTGGAGTGCAGTGGCCGGATCTCAGCTCACTGCAAGCTCCGCCTCGGCCTAGGGAACCTTTCTAAGCTTCAACCTCTAGCTCTGTAAAATGAGAATTGGAAGTAGGTGCGATCTGAACTTTCTGATCAATTCCAGGTACAAGCTTTTCAACAAAACTGAGCTGAGGAAATAGCATGTAATACCGTGGGAAAAGAGAATACTCACCTTAAAGGAAAACTGGGGGAACGGGGCCTAATTGCACACAAACTGCCCACAATCAGTTATCCAGTCTCCTCCCCTTCACTTCCCAACTTCTCTTGCATGTCAGTCTCTGGTCAACTTCCTCTGGGACCAAGCAAGCAAACTTCCCCCACTGCCTTAAGGACCCACCGGTCAACCCAGGGTGAGTGGAGACAATAGGGTTTGTGTCACAGGGGTCCTTGACATCACGTAACAATGCACAGGGGTGTCCCCACCTAGGGTCCTCATTCCCTCCAGAAAGGCCCTCCAAGGCTACAGTGGTTGGGATGGCATACCTGAGCGAGTGTCGCCTGCGACTGGAGAAAGGCTTTATCTTGGACGGGGTGGCTGTGAGCACCACTGCCCGCGCTTATGGGCGCTCTAGGCCCAAGCTGTGGTCGGCGATTCCGCCCTACAATGCGCAGCAGGACTACCACGCCCGCAGCTACTTCCAGAGCCACGTGGTTCCGCCTGTTTTGCGGAAAACTGATCAGGTATAGGAGCTTCCTGGAAGACCCCACACTCCTCCCTAAATCTTCACTCCAGCGTCCTCACCACAAAGAAGACTCCGCCACTTTCACCTCCTCAGTTTACTTTCTTTTCTTTTTAAAATTTTTATTTATTATTATTATTATTATTTTGAGACGCAGTCTCGCTCTGTCGCCCAGGCTGGAGTGTAGTGAGTGGCACCATCTTGGCTCACGGCAACCTCTGCCTCCTGGGTTTAAGCGATTCTCCTACGTCGGGAGTAGCTGGGATTACAGGCACACCACGAAGCCAGACTAATTTTGGTATTTTTGCTAGAGACGGGGTTTCGCCATGTTACCCAGACTGGGATTACAGGTTTGAGCCTGTAATTACAGGGTTTCACTCTTGCCCAGGCTGGAGTGCGGTGGTGCAGTCACGGCTCACTGCAGCTTCCACCTCCCAGGGTCAAGCGATCCTCCCACCTCAGCCTCGTGATTAGCCGGGACTACAGGCGCGCGCCACCCCGCCCCGCTAATTTTTTTTTCTTTTCTTTTTTTTTTTTTTTGTAGAGAGGGGGTCTCGCCGTGTTACCCAGACTGGTCTTGAACTCCTGGGCTCACGCTATCCTCCCGCCACCGCCTCCCAGTTTTCTTAATGAAGCCGGAGGACTGCAGGAGAGGGAGGACAGGTGTTGAGCGCAAGCTTCCTGAGCTCACAGAATGGCCTTCCAGCCCTGAATTTGAGAATAGACTCATTCCGGGTTTCTGCAAGGCAAGGGGATAGGGCTCAAAGCCAGCTTCTCCCAAACCAGTCGGTCTCTTTGTCCTTTGTGACGTTACAGACCCGCCCTCTAGGGTGACCTCACACCGCAAATTCTCTAAATACGCGAAAATCCGTGTGACCTCAGTGAGCAAGACAAAGGGAATTGATTTGACTTCCAGGGCGAGACGCCTTCCTCCTGTGACATCATAGTGGCAGGGCGTGGGGCTTGGTCTCCTGGTTCTTTGGGCTGAAGGGAGGGACACCTCTCAAACCTCTGCGGACCTCAGTTCCTCCCCCTGGCCTTTTCCCTCCTAGGTGTAGGCCCCTTCCCAGCAGAGTACTCCCCCGCTAACCCCCCCCAGATCAAAGATTCGAGACTATTTGCTGATGGTTCAATATTCCCACCCAACATTTCGCTTCCAGTATTTGTGTTTCTACACATCAGTGGTGTGGAGAAGAAAAAGGAGGACTCATGGGGTTATTCTGTGAACAAATCTTGGGGTTTGTGTGTGTGTGTGTGTAGTCCCAAATGTTTGTTTGCATAGGTCCGTGCAGTGCATGTATACGGACACACATGAGTCACACATGTGTTGACTCATGTAATTTTTATTTTATTTATTTATTTTTTGAGACGGAGTCTCGCTCTGCCTCCCAGGTTCACGTCATTCTCCCGCCTCAGGCTCCTGTGTAGCTGGGACCACAGGTGTGCACCATAACTGCCAGCTAATTTTTGTCTTTTTTGTAGAGGTGGGGATTTGACATGTTGCCCAGGCTGGTCTCGAACTTTTGGCCTCAAGTGATCCACTCGCCTCGGCCTCCCAAAGTGCTGGGATTTCAGGCGTGAACCACCGCGCCTGGCCCAATTTTTCTTTCTTTTTTTTTTTTTTTTTTGAGACAGGGTCTTGTTCTGTCACCCTGGCTGGAGTGCAGTGGCATAATTTTGGCTTACTGCAACCTCCGCCTTCCGTGTTCAAGCGATCCGTCTACTTCAGCCTCTCGAGTAGCTGGGACTAACAGAGACCAGGTTTCACCATGTTGCCCAGGCTGGTCTTGAACTGCTGAGCTCAAGTGATCTGCCCATCTCAGCCTCCCAAAGTGCTGGAACTACAGCATGAGCCACCACACTGGCATCGACTGGTAATTTTACGACAGAAGGAACCAGAGTCTGGGGAGGGGAAAAGGAAGAACCTGAGTATTTAAAACCTTGAAAATGATAAGGTATACATATTTTGAAAAAGCTTTCTTTTTTTTTTAGACAGAGTCTCACTCTGTCATCCAGGCTGGAGTGGAGTGGCCTGATCTTGGCTCACTGCAATCTTCGCCTCCTAGGTTCAAGCGATTCTCCTGCCTCAGCCTCCCAAGTAGCTGGGATTATAAGCGCCCGCCACCACACCCAGCTGATTTTTTGTATTTTTAGTAGAGACGGGGTTTCACTATGTCGGCCAGGCTGGTCTCGAACTCCTGACCGCAACTGATCCACTTGCCTCAGCCTCCCAAAGTGCTGGGATTACAGGCGTGAGCCACCGCAGCCAGCCTTGGAAAAGCTTTCCAATTTTATTTTTCGAGACAAAGTGCCACTCTGTCACCCAGGCTGGAAGTGCAGTGGCACAGCTCACTGCAGCCTCGAACTGCTGGGCTTAAAAAATCCTCCAGTCTCAGCCTTCTGAGTAGGTGGGACTATAGGCGTGTGCCACCATGCCCAGTGGCTAATCTTTTTTTTTTTTTTTTTTTTGAGACGAAGTCTCGCTCTGTTGCCCGAGCTGGAGTGCAGTGGCCAGATCTCAGCTCACTGCAAGTTCCGCCTCCTGGGTTCACGCCATTCTCCTGCCTCAGCCTCCCGAGTAGCTGGGACTACAGGTGCCCGCCACCTCGCCCGGCTAGTTTTTTGTATTTTTTTAGTAGAGACGGGGTTTCACCATGTTAGCTAGGATAGTCTTGATCTTGTGACCTCGTGATCCGCCCGTCTCGGCCTCCCAAAGTGCTGGGATTACAGGCTTGAGCCACCGCGCCCGGCCCCAGTGGCTAATCTTTTAATTTTTTTTCTTTTTTGAGGCAGAGTCTCACCCTGTCGCCCAGGTTGGAGTGCAGTGGTGTGATCTCGGCTCACTGCAACCTCAGCCTCCCGGGTTCAAGTGATTCTCCTGCCCCAGCCTCCCAAGTAGCTGGGATTACAGGCACCTGCCACAACGCCCAGCTGATTTTTTTATACTTTTAGTAGAGATGGGGTTTCACTATGTTGGCCAGGCTGGTCTCGAACTCCTGACCTTGTGATCTGCCCATCTTGGCCTCCTAAAGTGCTGGGATTACAGGTATGAGCCACCATACCCAGCCGCAATCTTTTAGTTTTTTTGTTGAGACGGGTCTGGCCATGTTACCTAGGCTGGTCTCAAACTTCTGGGTTCAAGTAATCCTCTTGCCTCAGCCTCCTAAAGTGCTGGGATTATAGGCACAAGCCACTGTGCCCAGCCTGTTTTTTTTGTTTGTTTGTTTTTGAGAGGGAGTCTCACTCTATCTCCCAGGCTGGAGTATAGTGGCACGATCTCAGCTCACTGCAACCTCTGTCTCCCGGGTTCAAGTGATTCTCCTGCCTCCGCCTCCTGAGTAGCTGGGATTACAGGCACGCGCCACTACACCTGGCTAATTTTTGTATTTGTAGTAGGGGTTTCGCCATGTTGGCCAGGCTGGTCTCCAACTTTTGACCTCAGGTGATCCTCCTGCCTTGGCCTCCCACAGTGCTGGGATTACAGGTGTTAGCCACCGCTCCCAACCAACCTGTTTAATTTTTAAAAGTATTATTGTCAAAACCACCATTTGTGGTAGGTATTATTTTCATTTAAATAAAGATAACATTTATACAACTTCACTATGCCAGGCCCTTTATCTGACCATAACCACTTAAGTCTCACAGCAGGCCGGTGCGGTGACTCACTCCTGTAATCCCAGCACTCTAGGAGGCTGAGGCGGGAGGATCACCTGAGTTAAAGAGTTTGAGACCAGCCTGGCCAATTAGCTGGCATGGTGGCGCATGTCTGTAATCCTAGCTACTCAGGAGGCTGAGGCAGGAGAATTGTTTGAACCCAGGAGGCGGAGGTTGCAGTGAGCCAAGGTGGCAACACTGCACTCCAGCCTGGGCAACAGAGTGAGACCATGTCTCAAAAAACAAACCTCACAGCAATACTCCTTTTACTGATGGGGAAATTGAGGCCCAGAAAAGCTGTGTAATTGGCCCAAGTTCACAAAGCCTGTTAATGATTGAGCTGGAGTTAGAACCCAGCCTGTCTGGCAGCAGAGACTGAGCCTTCAGCTGCCAAGTTCAACTGCCCTTGAACCCCGGAGGCAATAGGTTCTTCTTCTTTTGTTTTTTGAGACAGAGTTTGGCTCTTGTTGCCCAGGCTGGAGTGCAACGGCAAGATCTCGGCTCACTGCAACTTCTGCCTCCGGGGTTCAAGCAATTCTACTGTCTCAGCCTCCTGAGCAGCTGGGATTACAGACGCCTGCTACCATGCCCAGCTGATTTTTTGTATTTTTAGTAGAGATGGGGTTTCGCCATGTTGGCAAGGCTAGTCTCGAACTCCTGGCCTCAGGTAATCCACCCACCTTGGCCTTCCAAAGTGCTGGGATTACAGGCCTGAGCCACTGCGCCTGGCCTGGTTCTTAAATATATTTAGTCTGTCTGCCCCAGTTACCTAAGGCTCTGATCTCTTCCCTCTCCCCACAGCAAACCCCAGGGCAGATTGCACCGTGCCCTCCTCAGCATTGTGGCTGACAGTCTTCTGTATTCTCTTCCCCACTTTCAGGATCATGGCGGTACAGGAAGGGATGGCTGGATTGTAGACTATATCCACATCTTCGGGCAAGGACAGAGATACCTCAACAGGAGAAATTGGGCAGGGACAGGCAAGTGCTGCCTCCATTTCCAGCCTCATCATGGTTCCTGGGCCATAGCGAGGCCTGGTTGAGGGGAAGAGGCTAAGGGACTACATCCTTCCAGGTTTTCTTCACATACACGAGCATATGGTGCCACAGTGCTCCCTAATATTGGTTAATAAGCCCCAGTACTGTATGTCAGGCCCCATTTTTTCTTTTTTTTTTTTGAGACATGGTCTCAGTCTGTCACCCAAACTGGATTGCATGAAATGCAGTAGCACGGATGGGTGTGGTGGCTCATGCCTGTAATCCCAGCACTTTGGGAGGCCGAGGCGAGTGGATCACTTGAGGTCAGGAGTTCCAAACCAGCCTGGCCAACCTGGTTAAACCCTGTCTCTACTAAAAATACAAAAAGACAATTAGCCGGGCGTGGTGGCGGGCGCCTGTAGTCCCAGCTACTCGGAGGCTGAGGCAGGAGAATTGCTTGAACCCAGGAGGCGGAGGTTGCAGTGAGCCAAGATCATGCCACTGCACTCCAGCCTGGGCGACACAGCGAGACTCCATTTAAAAAAAAAAAGAAATGCAGTAGCACAATTACTACTGACTGCAGTCTTGACCTCCTGGGCTTGAGCAATCCTCCCACCTCAGCCTCCTGAGCAGCTGCGCCCACAGGTGTGCACCACCACACTCAGTTAATTTTTTATTTTTTGTAGAGATAGAGTCTCCCTATGTGGCCCAGGCTGCTCTTGAACTCCTAGGCTCAAGTGATCCTCTGGCCTCAGCCTCCTAAAGTGCTGGCATTACAGACATGAGCCATTTGTTAGGCACTTTTCACCGTCACACTAACCCCACAGCACAGGTAGGGAAACAAGTTTTTTTAGTTAAAGTAATTTGGCAAGAGGGCTGAGCTGGAATTAATATTCTGCTCTTCCTGGGCCTGGTACAGTGGCTCATGATCATGCCTGTAATCCCAGCACTTAGGGAGGCTGAGGCAGGCAGATCACGAGGTCAAGAGTTCAAGACCAGCCTGGCCAACATAGTGAAACCCCGTCTCTATTAAAAATACAAAAAATTAGCCAGGCATGTTGGCGGGCACCTATAATCCCAGCTATTCAAGAGGCTGATGCAGGATAATCTCTTGAATCCAGGAGGCAGAGGTTGCAGTGATCCAAGATTGCATCATTGCACTCCAGCCTAGGTGACAATGCGAGACTCCATCTCAAAAACAAATGAACAAAAAGATTCCGCTCTTCCCAACTCTGAAGCCCCTGTTCCCCTCACTGCTGCATCCTGCTCATTTTCCAGGCCCAGGTTAACAACAATGGGAAAGAGTTGAGAGATATTTTTCTTTTTTTTGAGACCGAGTTTTGCTCTGTTGCCCAGGCTGGAGTGCAGTGGCACGATCTCGGCTCACTGCAACCTCTGCCTCTTGGGTTCACACCATTCTCCTGCCTCAGCCTCCCAGGTAGCTGGGACTACAGGCGCCTGCCACCACGCCTGGCTAATTTTTTGTATTTTTAGTGCAGATGGGTTTTCACCATGTTAGCCAGGATGGTCTCGAGCTCCTGACCTCAGGATTCACCCGCCTCGGCCTCCTAAAGTGCTGGGATTACAGGCATGAGCCACCGCGCCCGGCCGAGATATTTTTCTAACAGGGTAAACCCTCCTCCCAGCCCAGCTCCACCATCGTGGGTCACTTCTCTAGTCACATGATACTTTGTGCCATTTGGCCCAATTGATCTTGATCTCATCCATTTTTTCCACATGGGTCAGAGGCAAGGGTGAGATTTTTCTCATTTCTTGTGGGAGAAAAGCAAGCTTTGCCAATCCCAGAATTTCTGGCCCTTCCTGTCCCAGCACAAACCATTCACAGTTTTCCTGCAATTATTCCTGGTGCGGGGTTTTATTTCTAGGAAGCCTTCTGTCCCTCAGCCTCACCAGCCCTTGGCTTTTCAGCCCAGAGGCTCGGGGAATTTGAGGATTGCATGTTCAGCTGTGGGCATGGGGAATGCAAGTGACTATGCCTGGTTGGCATCCCATACCACACCCAGGGGAATGGGGAAGCCAAGAGGTGGGCTGAATGCAGGCTCAGGCCTCTCTCTCCTTGCCCCCAAGGGCATTCTCTCCAGCAGGTGACTGGGCACGACCACTACAATGCTGATCTGAAACCAATCTATGGGTTCAATGGAAGGTTTGGCTACCGCCGGAACACTCCAGCCCTCCGTCGGAGCACGTCCGTCTTTGGAGAGGTCACCCACTTCCCTCTGTTCTAACAGCATCTTTTCCCTTCCTAGCCATCGACCTGAATTTCTAAGACAAATGTTTAGATGAACTCTTAATGTTATTTTACGTTAAAAATTTAATTTGTGTCTCCACGTGTGCTGTTTCTTCCCTGAGATTAGAGGAATGAGCCAGTTCTGCCCTTGGCTTCTCTTCCCCCTGGAGAGGAGGTGAGAGGAGAAAGGGCTTCTCAGGCCTACACCCTTGCACTCCATACCAACGAGTGCCAGGTTTGAAAGGAGGGGCTTCAGTTCTCCCCTACCAGTGGGACAAGAAGGAGCCACACTACTCAACCTCAATAAAGCACTTCCCCAGCTGTCAGCAGAGCCCCAGGTCAGAGCTGGCTATTGTTTCCATCAAGAACAGAGCAAAGGCCAAGCTCCTTGGCTTATGCCTGTAATGCCAGCACTCTGGGAGGCCAAGATGGGAGGATTGCTTGAGCTCAGGCAAGTGGATCACTTGAGACCAGCCTGGGCAACATGATGAAACACTGTCTTTACTAAACATATACGTGTGTGTGTGTGTGTATGTTTATGTATATATATGTGTATAGATATGCATAGAGAGAGAGAGAGAGAGAGAGAGAAGGAGAGAGAGAGAGACTCACTCTGTTAGCCCAGGCTGGAGTGCAGTGGTGTGATCTCAGCTCACTGCAACCTCTGCCTCCAGGGATTCAAGCAATTCTCCTGACTCAGCCTCCCTAGTAGCTAGAATTACAAGCGCCTGCCACCACTCCCAGCTAGTTATTTCATATTTAGTGGGGGCGCGGTTTCACAGTTTTGGTCAGGCTAGTCTCGAACTCCTGACCTCACCTCGGTCTCCCTGAGTGCTGGGATTACAGGCGTGAGCCACCCTCCTGGCCCAGGATGTCATTTTTCAAGTGTTCCCTTTCAATTTATTGGTGGCCAATAGAAAAGCCAAACCAGATGATGGATAATTAAGAAGGTGGGGCTTTAGAACACAAAACTTGCCAGAACTCATGTGGGTGGAACTTGATTGTATTGAGTCACCATAAGTGGCCAGGGAAGGAACCTGTAATGGACAGCGGGGGTATGGCTCAGGGGTAGAGCATTTGACTGCAGATCAAGAGGTCCCCGGTTCGAATCCGGGTGCCCCCTTCCGTGATATTTTCTCACTACCATTCCATTTAACAGCAAATACCGTCAGCCACAGTATCACCAGAAAAGATGAAGGAACTTTCAACTTGATCTTGCGCTAAAACTGTTCCTCCCACATTCCAGCTCACCTTTAGGACAAAAAGCCCTTCTAGGATCTCATTTGTCTTCAATTAAGATCAAGTCCCTGAGGAGATGGTAAATCTATGAGTGAGTCTGAGAGCTGTGAACACAATTTGCTAATTGGATGGGTGTCGGAGTATAGATGGAAATGTATGTATTT